ACTAGGGCACACAAATTAGAATTCTGAGTGCCTTGGGTTATTCTAACAAAGACTACTGCAACCAAGATGAGAAGAAATATTCATTGGATTTCTAGAACATTCAAATTTCCGCCAATATGAACAATAACTCGACAATAAAAATATATAACTCCTCTCGTTCTTGTTGAAATTGGAGGTTCAAATCAGCACAATAACTCGACGATAAAAATATATAACTCCTTTCGTTCTTGTTGAAGTTGGAGGTTCAAATCAGCACAATAACTCGACAATAAAAATATATATCTCCTCTCGTTCTCGTTGAAGTTGGAGGTTTAAATCAGCACACCCCGTATTTGTTGCAATACAGTACTGTACTGCTATGCGCTACATTCAAACTACAATAAGTACAAAAGCAACATAGCTTTCATAAATAGTATACATTGAAGAATTGATATAAGAGGAACAATCTGTTCCATAAATTGCTCTTCTCCTTTTGAATTTGTATGCAAAACGTGTGGTGTGGACTTCAGGCAGATATTATACCTTCGGGTAAGAGTTCTTTATCAGGGTCGGGGGAGAGGAATCTTCGGCATGCGTAGAAGACTGTCGAGTGAAAACTACTAGGGTTGTCTATAAACACAAAGTGCCCAGCCTGCACTTGTATGATGATCAAAGGAAAACCTCTAAGATGGAGGATAAAATAGAGACATTCATACGCGTATTTAAAGAGAGCGAGAAGGATGGAAAAACCTGAGGAACCCGTAATATTTCGCACGGGGTCTTCATACACTTGCGAGCTTCTTGAGCGCCTTGATAATTCATCCAATCTTGGTAACCGTAGATAAATGTTGTAGGAACTTTCCATTCAGAAGCACTGAGCAAAATGAAGGTAATCAGTCAGATGTAGATGTTCTTATCATATTCAGATGAATGAGTACCAAAAAAATGTTCAATTAATTATTTTCTGAGTAAGCTATCACGTATTCGAGCATTTTCTTTTCTTTTTCTTTTCTTTTTTTGAACAGTGTTATGAAGATAGAGCTTAACAGGCACTTATCCCTCGAGAGGATCCTAATTCACAAAAGTTTCTCATTAGAGCTATTCTCCTTCTCCTGAAATAACCCACCAATTTTTCAAGCTCCTAAATGTGTGTAAAAATACCATGTTGGGTCACCGATCAACCCAAAACCCAAACTTGCTAATAGGTTGTGGTAAATTTAATCCTTTATAGATACCTTAACCTACTGTAATGGTTCAACTTCAATCACTTCAATTGAATCACAATGGATTGATAAATCAAAGTAATTATAAGTAATTTTCGAGGCTACAAGGCCTAAAAAGAACAATCACTCACCATTCTATTACATAGACCAGAAATGCAGAATTAACATCCTGCTCAAAATGCAACTACTAGCACAAGCTTACAGAGGCACAGCCCCAAAATTAAAAGGAAAAAGTTGAGGATGCATAAGAAAGTTATTAATAAACTATTGAACTTAATTCAGCAGATACTCAATCAACTTAAACGACACATCTAGCATTCTACAAACAGTAAAGACTATAAATCTAAAATAACAAAATGGAACAGAAATAAAAGTTAGCCAACACATAATTTCAACAAAAAGTAAGTATGAGATAGTTTTAGATCAAAGAAAGTAAGTGAAGTTATCAAACCTTTGTAGAAGCGGCATCCGAGCAAATGCACCAAATGCGAAAATATATTTCAAGCACAATTCTCCACTAGCTTTGGCTGCTAACGTGTGATATACATAATCTTCACTTGGAAAAAGGAAGAAGTCAAAAATCAAGTTACATATTTATGCAGAATGCCCAACTCTTTATCTTCCATTACCTGTCAACAATCTGGATTCTTCATCACTCAATATATCTCCAATTGAGTATGTTCCAAACCTATTACTTGTATATCTGCGAACAAGATCTGGACCCCAGGGACCCAAACCTCTGAGAGATGCAGATTACACAAGATTAGGAGTCTTCCACATTTAAATATTCTAAAAGAAAAAAAAATTAATAGTGACTTAACCTAAACATAATTGCCCAATATTATGAAATATAGAAGTGCTGAAAATATACCAAAGATAAAAGTAAAAGTTAAGCAATGATACAGAAAATTATAAGCCTAATCTTTTTTATAAGGACTCTATAAGTATGAATCTAATTTTCCCTCTTACTTTTAACATCTTTCACCCAAAATATACCAACCACGTACACCAAAAAAATGAAGTGATTAAAGGATGGACTTCAGTAAAGTCATGCTGCTGAGTTTTTGGTCCATAAAAACAATTCTGATGATGACCTTAAAAACTGTACTATGGTGTGCTCATATATACTTTGGAATGAACACACCAAGAATTAATCCCAACACTTAAATACGGTAAGGTACGGCAGAGAAAAGAACTATATTATTTTGTTGAAGGAGTTGATAAACTGGAAGCTCTTTAGAAATAGAAAATACCTGACAAGCTTCTGTGGAGTAAAATTTGACTCCCACAAATGACTCAATACCGCTCCTTTCCATGTAGCTCTAAACCGTGTAATCCACTCAGACTTGGCATCTGACTCTGAAGAAAATCCGGCCGGTCCAACTAAAATTAGGTGTTTAATGTGCTCAGGATGCTGAAGAAGATGATAGTGACCTCAGAAATCACATAGTTATCATATATGTTTAATTTTAAAAAATTGGACTTTTAAAGCAAACACCTTGAGAGCATATTTAGCTGCAACATATCCGCCAAATGAGTGTCCAAGTAAAATAAAGTTGCTGATATTTTTTGCTTTTCGCCATTCCTCAAAAGAATCTATAAACCAAGCTTCAGTTTCTGCATCAGCAACATAACAATTAGAACCTTAACAGAACATAAAATACAATAAATTAAAGATAAATAGCTTGTTTCACTACCACGTTCATAAAGTTTAAAAGTTCTATGGCATAACTAAGTGCAAATAACATCAAATTTCAAAAATAATATTGTATGTTACTGCAATTGCAATAATAATTTTTTTTATTGAAAAAAAAACACTCTCTTGTTATATTAGAAGCAACAAGAATTATCTGTAGTATGGAAGTGACTATTCAACCTTCAGTGCTTCTGCATGTAAAATCAGGCCTGCTAGATCCACCCCACCTACAAACACGCAAGTAAAGAAACTTCAGTACAAAGTTATGCTGCTCATTCATAAAGAAATAGACTGCCCCTATTGGGGTTTGAGAATCTGAGATTCATGCAAAATGTGTAAATGAAATAAAAGATGAGCACAATAATACAGCGAAGGAGTAACATAAGGGTTACAGCACAGCAGACATCATATTTAAACGAAGTCAAGCCATCAAACAAGGAGATTTATTTTAAAAGATTTTGCTCACCCAAGTTGATCGATGGCAATGACCCGGAAGCGACTGGCAAGAGCATCAAAATTTCGGAAGAAGAAACCTTGGGAAGCAGCATAACCGTGAATCATTACAAGAGTCGGAGACTCAGCTTTGCCGTCGAATGTGACAGTGTTGATAAATCTAGCCTCATCACTTGAAGAACGAAACCACCTAACTTTCGATCCTGGCGGGCCAGAACCAATGCTAACCCGTTCTTGGACATAGGGAGTCCTGAAATTGAAAAAGTTCCAATATCATAAATAATGAGATAACGTCTGTCACAAAACTAGAGTTCGAATCATATATTATTCAATCCTATTGGAGCTCTTAAATGAAAACATGTAAAATTAATATTTGATCCGAATTTCCCAAGCGTGCATAAAATGGAAAAAATGCGAATTTACGTGTAGTCATGAAATCCAATGAACTTTGAATTGAAAGAGCTTCGAAATGTAGTCTTCTACAATTGATACGAATTTAACGTTCCAGAAACCAACAAATCTCATCTTCAAAATCTGGACTCAACCAAAACTTCCAAATTCCAAACTCCAAACACATAGCCTATTAACGATTAATCCAATTCTTCTCCTCAAGAAAATTCTCAACAACGAAAAGGACCTCTAGGGTTTCAGGAAAGGAGAAGAGAGAGAGAAATTACTTGACAAGAGAGAGAAGTCGCTTTTCGGCGGCGATGATTTGATCGGTCGACGTGGGAATCCAACGGAGAACAGAGGGCCACAAAGATCTCGATTTCGCCTTCTCAGCGGTAGAAGTGGAGGTTCCGAGTCCGGCCTTACTGATCTCTTCCGCCATTTTCGCGAATGAGCTCGAAATCCGCAGACGATTTATGGTCATGAAACGAACAAAAATTCAACCATTCCTCTGCGATTCAAGCGTTGTCCTATAAATGTTGAACGGTGTTCGTCCACCGGCCCGCCATACGACTTCGCCGACTTGGCGAGGAAGCAAATTAATAAAATAAACTTTTTTTTCTCTTTTGGTGATTTTTGTTAATTTTATTTATTTACTATTTCCACTCCTTCTAAATTATTAGCGGTGATTATTTTTTGCTGAAGAAGGCGTGGAAGCATAAAAAATAAGGGAATTTTTGTTATAGTCCACTCCTTGAGGATTTCTAGAAACCTTGCTTACATTCGCAGTGACGTAGCCTGCGAATAATAGATTCTTTTTTTTTCTTTTTTTCTTTTTTTTTCTCTTTTTCTTTTATACTTTTTAAATCTTAACCAACTTTCGAAAATGAAAAGAAATATTTTTATTTAAATTTATTTTAAAATAATGCTGCATTAAATAAAATTATATAAAAAATGCTCCTTTTAAAACTAATTCCAAAAATAATATTTTTGAATTTAATCTCTTACTTAATCGTCGTCTCCATGCCACTTTTAGTAGTCGGTCATCCCTTCAAAAGACGACCATAAAGATGTGGCGCTTCACGTCTGATTTTTTAAAAAAATCAAAACATGGTCGTCTCTGGTATTGAACACATCTCGAGTTTGTTTCTTCACCGAATGACCTGATTCCTAAGGAAATGATAAATATTATTATACATTATATATTAAAAATTAGATTTTTGTTCATTATACCAAATAGTGGCATAGTCGACCAAAGTGCAGTATTCTTCCTTAGACACCATGGTTTCAAACTCCAAAAAGCACAAGTTTTTTCTTTTTCTATTAATTAATCAACTTGTTAGTGTTTACTTATTATTATAAACGAACACGGGAATTTTTGTATATAAGATTATATATAACTAAAAAATAATCAACTTTTTAGTTATTATTATTATTATTTCAAAACAATACACATTTTTTTATTTTTTTTATTATTTTTATTTGTTTATTATATTTCAAAAAAATATCATTTTTAATAAATTATTTTTTCTTTTATTATTAATAAACTCTTTACTTATTATTATAAACGTAATAAAAAACGAGAAACGTATCAATCAAAGTTCGAACACGATAATTTTTGTATATAAGATTATATATAACTAAAAAAATTATTATATTAATAATTCAGATGATCACAAATCCACTAAAAACTAATTATATATATATATATATATTTTTTATACATGGTTTATTAAAAATAATATAAATAATATATAAATATAATGATATAATAATAATTAATGAAAAAATAATAATGAGGTAAGAGTTAGATTAATAGTAAAAAGAAAAAAGAAATGCACATGCAATTTATTAAAAAGTAAAAGAAAATAACCTGCATTATCCAGGATTCGAACTCATAAAACTGCACTTTTGTTCATTGCGCCACTAATTGGCATGTGAACAAAAATCTACTTTTTATTATATCATTTATAATCATATTTATTATTTCCTTAAAAATCCAAGCCGTCCCGTGAAGACGACCTCGAGATGCATTCCATTTCTATGGTCGTCTCTTAGGGACGACCAAGTAGGGGACTAATTCAAAAGCATTATTTTTAGAATTAGTTTCAAAAGAAGTATTTTCTATGTAATTTTATTTAATGCAGCATTATTTTAAAAATAAATTTAAATAAAAACACTATTTAAAAAAAATCCCTCTTTTGGAGCAATATCAAATCTCTTTTTGAAGCATATGCCTTAGTTTTATTCATTATTTGTCTATATATTTTGTGTATAACATTTTTTAGTTTGACAGTTAGAAAGTGAATGATTGAACTATCGATCTTAGGTATGATAATAGATGTCATGGCAACGAGATAAGTTTAAATTAGCTGGTTTAATTGATTGAAAGATATGAAGTAAAGTTAAATTTAAATAAAGCATTATTTTAATTTAAAAGCAGGAGGGCAATAAAAAATAGCTCTTAAATGTCAAAATAATTAGCATATACCTCCAACTTGTAAGTTTGAATCTCTTCCACAACATGTTGTATTAAAAAAAATAATAATAAAATAGTCCTTAAATTTTGTGTTGTTTTTTTTTTCTTTTTTCTTTTTTTGAAATGATAGATTTGTGTTGCTCTTGAAGTGCTCAATAATAATTTCTTAAGTTGAATTTTGAGACATATGATAAGTTTTAATCAAATGACATAGACCACCAAAATCAACTAGAATTAAATGCACAAAACTAAAAATATAAATTAAATCCTTTTTTGTTTCAAAATATACTTTTACAGCACAATCAATTATCACAACAATTGCGAGGTAGAGAATAGAACTATTGATATTTAAAATAATTTAGTTTCTACAGACTTAGAGCGCCCAAGAGGATAGATGTAGTCTTGTGTTTATAATGTTTCATATTTTTTTTAGATGTAGCCTTGTGTTTATAATTTTTCATATATTTTTTATTTAAATACTATATTGGTAGTTATACCATCAACCTGTTTATTTTAATCCATGTAATTTCAAAACATTCATTTATTATGTCCTTTCATATTTAAAATATTACGATTTTTGCCCTTATTTTTTTGTAAAATTTCAACACAAATTATATACATAATGAAAATTTTTATTACAAAGCTATGGCTATGGCTATTTATTAATTATATTATTGTGTTGAAAAAGATTATATAAAATAAAAAATGAGTGGATCAAATCCAACATTTGCACTCCAATAGAAAAAATCCTAGTTGCTAAGAAAACTCCTAGAATATTAAATCTTAGAATATTAAATCTCAATTAGACCGTCATCATATTTTGAACTCATTCCTTCTAAACCATTTATTATTTACCTTACCATGGTCCTTATCGACTACTAGGCCAATCCAAGCCCGTAATGGGTCGAGTATAATAGTACTTAAACCCATACTTTTTAACACTTTTATCCTTGGGAATCTCAGGTCATGAGAAAAGCTTTCTAGGATTCCCTTTTTAAATTTGGGAATCTATATTTGTTTTCTTCCTACTATCCATTTCATTAGGATGATCTGTCAGAAGGATAGGGCTACCTGACTAATCCCACACCAATAGACCAACCCCATATTTCATGTTTCATAATTCCAAGACTTCAAAAGAACATATACATTATACAACCAGTAGAAATCTGACTCCAATTGTAACTTTATCTCAGTCTACTGATACAAATAAAAATGAGGTTAAACTACAAATTTGGTCACTCTAGATTTAAAGGGTGAATCTAGGAATGTAATTGAAACTTCTTACAAATTCAAGGATGGTAAACATCACCAGAATCAAATTTGTAATTTAACCTCTAACTTATAAAAACAAAAACAAAAAGATCGAAACAGCTCTGCTAATTTCAATCATTCGAGACAATGCAGTCAAAATAGGAAAGATATCTAGCCAAGCCACAAGCTAGTCCGAATTACCCATCGGATATTTCAGAAGCACAAATGAGTAGTCTAGAGGCACAAATTCATGCGCAAAACTCAGCACAATAAGCAGCCAAGGAAACAAAGTTTTATGTTTATTGAGAAGAATAATTAATTCCAAATCCTTGTAAGCACAGGATCCGTGTGGTACAGCAATCACACAACAACACAAGAATATTTGAGAAAGTAAACTCAGTCATAACCACTTCTAATCAGGGAACTACAAAAACAAATCTTGGAAGAAAAAAAAAAGAGAGGCATAATACACAATCTCCAAACGAAAAATATTCAATTAATCAGCTCTTGACTGACCAGCCCGGGAGGAGAGAATAATGCCAACGATAAGTCCGTAAAGGGCAAGAGCTTCTGCAAAAATTAGAATGAGAATCATCCCAACAAAAAGCTTAGGCTGTTGTGCATTGGCCCTGCAGAAGACAAACATAATTAGATACTTCCCCTTCGAAAGATCTATATCATAAGTTTTTGTTTCAACCAGATAAAGAAAATCTAACAGGAGATTTAAAGTTAAATACAAATGGCATGCATCACCAACAAGCAAGTTGAAAATTATTAATGAGAAAACCACTAAACAATTTAAGGAAACAAAATGCGTAGCAAATTACATTGAAGTAGCAACTCAACTCAAACCCAAATGGATGATTCAAAAATAGACCCAAACAAGCAAATGAATAATTCTCTAGTTACTGTCACAAGAAACAAAACATTGCTTGCTTGGCAAACAGTTTGTGCAAATTTCCATGGATTAAAAACAATAATTATGCCATTAACCTTTGCAGTGGTTGAAGCAGTAGACTGTTAATAGTGATCTGAGGGAGGAGGTAATCGTGTAGGAATTTAGACACAAAAGCCAACAACGTAGTGATTTGAACTTCAAATCAACAGTTCAATCAGATTTAGGCAGACTTCAATCCTTAAATGTTACCACGTCAGAATAAACTAAAATCATAAATTAATTCTCAACACAAGCATCCCATCCCTTCCCACAAACAAATCTAATTCCACTACTCGAACATGTTTTTGAAATAGATTCTGATAACAAATCTTCAATCAAAGAACTTCTACCGCAGTTGAAATGGCAGAAGCAAATTGAAAAGACAAACTAATAAACCTTAAAAAACGAAATCAAAGCAGATGGAAGCCTCCATCCATAACACCTCTAAATCTACGCTGTAAAGTAAATGGTTAAAGAATCTGTATCAGCTCAAATACATAAAAAAGAGTACCTAACGCCAGCATCGCCGACGATGCCGATAGCCATGCCAGCAGAGAGACCGGCAAGGCCGCAAGCAAGACCAGAGGAGAGATGCGCGTAGCCATCGAAGAGGTAATAAGATTTGGCCTTAGGGTTAATCCCCGTACTGATGATCACAGCAATAATAAGGCCATAGATACCCAAAACTCCGGCCATGACCACCGGAACAATGGACTTCATCACCAATTCCGGCCTCATGACTCCCATAGACGCCACTCCAACCCCGCTCTTCGCCGTCCCGTAAGCAGCTCCCATACCTAAACAAAACAACTAGAAAATGAATCCAATCCGAGGAAGATCCATAAGAAGAGATATGCAGCCAAATGCGTATGATGAAAAATTCATACAGGAGAACACCAGGGCCGCAGCGGCGCCGAGAAAACCAAAGAAGGGTGCCGTTTCATCGCCGCTGAAAGGTGACGCCATTTCTCCGATTGGGTTAGAATTTAGATCAGATCTGAGGGAAATTGAAGCTCTCTCTCTCTCTCTCTCTCTCTCTCTCTCTCTCTCTCTCTCTCTCTGTGATTTTCTTTCCTTCAGATACCGCCTTTTTGTTTTGCCCCCTTTTCTTGTGTCTTTGATTCTATAAAATCTCTCCACGCTATCTGGAATAATCGTATGGGAAAAAAAAGGCAAAACTAAATTTTAGAAGTAAATTTTAAATTTTGATTTATATAGTTTTGAAATTTATAAAAAAAATAAATTATAAATTTGCTCCCTACAATAAAAAAATGTCTAATAAATTTTTAAATATTTATTTTTGTGTTTGATAGGTTTAAATTAATTTATACCTAGTCAAAGCGAGCATAACTCAGTAGCAATTAGTATATATCTCCATCCAATAAATCGTGTGTTCGAATTTAAATGAAAAAATAAAAATAAAAATGATCTCACAAGCAAGTTTTTGGATGTTGGTGTAAAAATAAATGTCTCAATTTAAATGCGATGAAAATATAAAGAAAATGTTGATAGGATTGATATTTATTAAAAAAATGTATAAAATAAAAAAAGCTCATAAAAACTTATTTCTCATCTTATACAGGTTCTTTTTTTTTTCTTGAAAAGGTTAAATATTCTTATAATTAAACTATACCCACATGAGTAATATAATTCGTATTTTGTTACGCTGTGAATAAGAATATATATTATTGAAAAATTTTCTTTATATATATATAAAATGAGGGTGCATTTAGTTGGTGACTTGAAAATTTCCAATATATATCAATAATACAAATAATACATTTGTAGAGTAGTAAATTTACCCTAACATATATGTTATAAATTTGATATAATTATTATTTTACAATATTATATAGTTTATCATATATTATATTTTACATATTCTTTTGACAAAAAATAAAATGAATTTATAACATGAAATATTATATTTGTCAAAGTTTTTATCTTTTTAATGTAATTCTACCTTATAAAATTTCAAATTTGGAAACGTGAAGAAAAAAAATTCTACTATTTGACAAATTCTGATCATGTCACATGAGAAGGAAAGTAGAAGACTAATTGAAGGGTTTACCTCATCAACAATTTATTGACTTGATCAAACTGAAACTCCCAAAGAAGGAAATATTTCACAATTTTTATTTTTGAAACATGAGATGCCAAAGAGATAAGGGATGTAAAAGATGCAGCATAAAGGAGAAGTAGCTCTCTATTGGGCCCCCACACCATATAACCTATAATCTAAGGACACCCTTCAGAATAAGAATATTCATCCATTTCCCTTCACAACAATAAATACCGAACACCTTTTCCCTCCGACCTCTCTCCCATCCCTCTCTTTGGCTCTCTCCAATGTCATCACTGCTGCCAACTAAACAAATATAACACTATACATTTTCCTTTTTAAGAAAAGCTCAACAAAAGGAGCTAAACTAAAAGAACGGACTTCAATCTAGCAAGATCAAACTTAATGACTTTGGATACTGATATCAAACGAGAAACGTGAAACCGAGCAATGGCCAACACACCTCCGCCCGGTTGTTTTATACCACAAATCCCATAGAACAGTAAAGAAATCTGGTTCTACCACAAAAACCAGCCGGTTTAAACTATAATAACAATAAGCTGTTTGAAGCCTTGGGCCTTTTTTCATATAATCTAAGGACAGGATTATTCAGTTTAAAGCAAGGAATTTAATGAAATATCTATCTGCAAACTGTTAACATAAAAAATATTGCAGTCCAAATGCAGAAGAGATATCTAGCCATCAACTAGTCACTGCCTCAGCAAGATATTATCTCCAAACACGTTGTACAAAAAGACGTCTACACAAAATTTCGAATCAAACTTCAGCAGAATAAGACCAATGCATAGGAAACAAAGTTTAATCTTTATTGAGAAGAATAATTAATTCCAAATCCATACAACAGCTACAGAATCCGTGCGGTATAGAAATCACACCTCATAAGAACATTTGTGATTTGAGAAAGTAGGCTTAATCACGGTAACCCATTTTACTCAGAGTACAAAACCAATTCTTGACAAAAAAGAGGAGAGACATACTACACAAACTCCACACACAAAGCATCCACTTAATCAGCTCTTGACTGACCAGCTCGAGAAGAGAGAATAATCCCCACGATAAGTCCATAGAGTGCAAGCGCTTCGGCGAAAATTAGAATAAGAATCATCCCGACGAAAAGCTTAGGCTGCTGTGCGTTGGCTCTGCAGAAGACAGATATAAATGATAAGTACCTCCTACACATAAGAAGCGTTTGAGAAACAGAACTCAGATAACCACCAGCAAACTCCCCGTTGTTGCTTAACTTTCATGAATTCACTTAATTTTCTTCCAATCCTTGTACTTTCAAGTTTCATGGACCAAAATATTATGTGGTCCTGATTCTGAAGTTCCATACAAATTCATTTTGATCCTAGTTAAATATTTGCATTGGATTTGACATAAATCTCCAGCCACCCATTTCCACACCCAATACAGAACCTTGTACATATGATTTTAAAACATAAGTCTAACATGATGCCACTTAGACTTTTTGCTAAATCCATTACAAAATTTAACTGCAAAGACCAAAAAGATTTTTTATGAAAAGATCCAAAGACGACAAAAATAGAATATCTGAGATTAAAATGATGTAAATTTAGGAATTATAATAGGATTTAAAAGAAGAAAAAATTGCCGAACAATTATTTTTAAAAATCCAACAAAAGAAGCAACTCGATTAAATGGATAATTGACAAATGACCCACCCAAAAAATATTATCTCACCACAACAAGAAAAGACCAAGTTACTGGCAGGGTTTGAGAAGATTATAATGCATTGCACGAATTATCGTGTACTAAAGACTAAAGGAAGCAATAGTATCAAAAAATCCACACAAAAACTAAAACAATAACCTCTAGTTATTTACATAACTACGATATGGATCCATCAAAATCCCACCCAACAGACAAACCCTAATCCACCATTTGAATATATTAGAATCACACTTTGACAACAAAAATTCAAGACGAAGATTCTGGGGAAGGAATCTAAGACAAAGGCAAAAACAAGTTGAAAGATAAACAAGACCAAAATGAACGAAATCAAGCCAAAATCAGTACACCGCATACACTAATCTATCAAAATGCACACACGACGGCAAGAAAAACAACCCAACGTGTAAACAACATATAGTACCTAACACCCGCATCGCCGACGATCCCGATAGCCATGCCAGCGGACAGACCGGCAAGGCCACAAGCAAGACCAGAGGAGAGATGCGCGTAGCCATCGAAGAGGTAATAAGATTTGGCTTTAGGGTTAATCCCAGTACTAATAATCACAGCAATAATAAGCCCATATATACCCAAAACTCCAGCCATAACCACCGGAACAATCGACTTCATCACCAATTCAGGCCTCATTACTCCCATAGACGCCACTCCGACCCCGCTCTTCGCCGTCCCGTAAGCAGCTCCCATACCTAACAGCGAATCAGTAAAAGAGAAAAAAAAACCCCATCAAAGATCCACACCCAAAAACGCACCATAGAAACACGAGAACAATCAATCAAAAAAACCGGCATTGGATCGAAAAATCAATTACAGGAGAAAACGAGTGCCGCAGCGGCGCCGAGGAAGCCGAAGAAGGGAGCCGTTTCATCGCCGCTGAAGGTTGACGACATCTTTCTGGGTCCGCCGGTGAAGACGAAGGTCTCCGATTAGATCAGATCTCAAGCTCTTCTGCAAATATGCCCACAGGCCACTTCGTCGTCTCCTCTCTCCAACCCTCTGAAATTCTCACGCTATCACAAATTATTATTTCACTTTCAGAATAATCATCGGGTCCTACAGCTGGGCTTCCCACGGGCCCACCAAAGCCCAATCAATGGACGCAGGCAGAATAATAGGTAAAAGTGGGCCGACAATAGGCCCACATCTTGCTGGCCCAATCGTGTACCTGCACTGCGCGTATTGCAACTCAATCATAACGTTATTTTAAACTATTTTAAATATGCTCCAACTTTACTAAAAATTATAAAATGATAAGAATTATAATATATAATACTTGGTAAAAAAAAGAAATCTGAAAAGAAAAAAAATGTATGTTTTCAATCAGTCTGACTTCAAAAGGTTAAAAAACTAGATGCTACCAATGAAAAAATCCAAAATCGAAACTTATCAGGAAATAATATGTGATCAATTAAACCATGCTCAAATCCATATTATGCATATATGTGTTTTGGGTTGGAAATAATAGAAGCTATCAAAGTTTCCCAAGCTTCATATTCTTTTTAAACGTTCAGAACTTTAATGATAAGTTTAGAGCATGTACAAGAACTAGCAGAGGTCAAAAATCAAGTGGAACTTATGACGAAGTTTCGTTAAATCTACGATTCAAATTCTCCAGCTGCGATCTCAATCGGCAAATAAGGTTAAGCAAAAATGGGGGGAGCAAGGGTGAGTCGTCATTTCGATCGTATCGGAATACGATCACGAGTAACAAGATCAAGTTCTGTTATAGCAAAAATTTAGCATATAATACACCACAGAACCAGTCCATCAGATGGATACTGAATTCAATGAATGATGATAATAAAGCAGCTAATGGCTATTGTTTTACCTTCTGGGAAGCAACTTCTTCCTACTCCAATTCAAACATCACCAAATACATGGCATATATAAATACTATCCTTCAAAATCGCTAGGCACCAGAAAGATCCTTGTACTGTCGTCGGAAATAAAAGACAACGGAAATTGATCAATGGCTTGCATAAAACACCAATTCCAAATAGCATTAAGAAAAACACAAGCTCGTGTTCCTCTTTTTCTTTTCTTTCTCCCTACTTCGAGAATATAACATTACGAATACGGTTACTGGGAGGTAGGTTACTGATGCTGCCTATAGCACAACCTCATGGAGCTAAATGCATATAATTTGCACAGTTCATTTAAAATGATGTTCAATAATCAATACTGGCATCAGTACAAAATCACATACCAAAGATCACATGCTTCACTTCAGATTATACTTCTCCTATCCATGACTTATTCAGAAAGTTGTAAATGTCCCATGTCCTTGTTCAGTTTCAAAACAGATAACTAACATCTGACCTTGAAAATTTTAGTGCTCATGGATTTGCAAAATCATACATAAATAAGCAACAGCTACGATAAGAATTGAAAGGATCTCAAATGGACTAAAAGAAAGATACCTATTTTTTGTGCATGAGAGAAGCAATCTACACTTTGCACACCTAGCAACAATCGAAAAGATAGTAAGCAGTAAACCAAGAAAAACAATTCAAGAACAAGAAAAAGGGAAGGAAATCTGAACTAACTTACAGATGCATCAGCATTATGTATATTGCATTCGTTTTCGTTTTCCGACTCGCATATGCAGTTTGATCTCATCTCATCTGCTGCTATATACCATCAACATTATTGTTCTCTACAAAAGAAGCACTTACCAAAACAGTCTAAATTGGAATATCTCATTCCGAACAATACATTTATTTTACTAAATAAAAATTATGACGGCTTCCTGAAACAATGGATCAAACCAAGAGGTAAAAAATTCATTAAGTTACAGTTAAGATTGATGGGAGATAGTCACAATTAGATAGGAAAAATGGCCTAGAAGGCACCTTTAGTTAATATATTCAAAGAGAGACAGGTAAATTACAATGTTCAATCATAAGGATTGAGCCAAATTTTTGCAAATAAATGAAAATTACTGTGTGATTGTTGTCAATGAAATAATTCTAAGCTGTACAGGTCGAGAGGGAAAAGGTGGAAAAGAAAATGAAGCATAACCTAAGGTCCATCACTAAAAACTGAAGGGCTTTATCTTTCACCCTTATAGTACAATGTGATGTTTTCTTCAACAGGCGCTCAGAATCCAAATGAGCTAGCAAAAGACACCTGGTGTGGGGCCAAGGAGTGGCAGAAATGCATACCATGCCAAAAATTATCCAGCATTAGGCTGTACCGCGGTACCAATAATAATCACATTTAACACCAGGTACCAATTATAATCATATCCGACAGCACGCACCAAAATCTTGGTAGATCATGGAAACTCCACAACGTGATTAAACAGGTACAAATGTCATATTTCTCAAATTGCAGCTTCAGAAAATAAGGTGCACTGGAAATGTAAATTAGGCGCCAAGTAAGTCTTTCACGCCAACTTATACCTTGGTGTCTTCCCATAATAAAATGAACAATCCATTAAGTCTCGAGAAGCTCACTGAGAAAGCCAGTCCAGTTGATCCTTGGGACCATCACGACTTCATTACCAACCAAGAAAATGACAACTAATCCTTGGGACTGTCACGACTTCATTACTGGCTTCATCCCCATATGCCTCTCTATTAACTTGTCTACAAAGGCACGAATCTGCAAGTGTATAATCCAAGTCAAGCAAAGTGGAAACCGATAAGGAACTATACAGTGGAAAGAAAGATAACAACAAAAGAACATTTTGTCTCACCAACGAAGAAGAAAAAATAGTATACATCGGTGGCATAAAGGGAACCATTTTGAAGTAAAATCAAGATAAAATCCAAACGGAAAGAATTCTAGAAATTTTCTTTTCCGCTACGGAAGAAGTTCCATGCGTAAACAATATAACCAGGTCTGGTAAATAGTAACTGATAAAGAATCTTTAGGATGGAAGCAAACCTTGTTCCTACGTTTAAAATCAAGAAACTCAGAAACAGTCATCCCTTTCTCTGCATCAGTAGCCTGTTCCATGACCTGATTTCCAAAGTTGAAAGGGTAAGATTTTAGAGAAAATAAAAAAGGAAACGTGGTTAAACATGTAATTCACTGCCCCCGCCCCCCCACCCAACAAAAAAAAAAGGAAGAAAAAAAATTTGTGGAAGATAATGTAAAAGAGAATGGAAAATTACTAACCTTGGTTGCACTTTTCTTCATAATTGACTTGTATCCATCCTTGTCAATCTTTCTTGCTTTGTAAAGAGGCATCAAGAGTGATGCGACATAATCAACTACGGCCTGCTTAATTCTGTCAGCCCCACGATGATGGTTTCTTACAGGCTCCTTATTGATTGTCACTTGTGAAATTGAGCTCTCATTCGCTACTTGCTCACTATTCCAAGTGGGTTTTTTCCAAGTTGTGTTTGAATCCTCCTCATCATTTACATGAGCTGCAGCTGCTTGAGATCGCCATCTCTCAATAGCATGATAATCTTTCATTCCAACACTACCAGCTGTATCAACCCATGCTTTAGTATATATACTACTATCCACGGGAGCGCTTTCACCAGAGTGCTCCCTGAAGTTTAACTGGCTAATGATCTCATTTGAATGGCTTCTTTGCGAAAGGTTATCTGCAGACATTCGTGAACTTTCAAGGTTAACACAAGCAGCAGAAAATTCCACAGACCAGTTCCTGACCCTGCAATTCCTTGAATCAATTTCTGATATACAATCTTGTCTTCCCAGAACACTGCCAGACAACTTCCTTTTATACTCACACTCATCCATTTGCGCATAATGCTCCCTTCTAGCAAATTTGTGAAATGAGGGTATTTTCGGGAGCTGCAGTACACACTTAGCTTCGGAAGATGCATAAGCCTGTGATATGAAAATTGCTAAATAAGTTTAATGCAGTCGTTGCTAACAGGAATAATTTTTACACCTCATATAAACCATTAAACGATATCAAATTCCAGTAAGATGGAAAATTTGTGATGCGAAAAGGGTATCTAAATACAGTTTCTCAATCCTATAAAAAAAAGCTTGTCACCTTTTGTGATCACAAGAAATTTTCATAATGAGATTACAGAGCCTCTGTAGCAAGCATCTTTCACAGATTAAATACAAAATTCACATTACTCTTAGAAACTAAAACAAACACCTCTGCCATTAATGAAACAGAAACCAAATTATGCTATGATTACTGTCATATTTTATCAGAGAAAAACAATAGAATTATTAGAGGGGAGGTTTGATCTCTTATTAGACTTCATGTTTCTCTTTGACCTCAAGTTTTAAGGATTTTGTAATTATCCGTTAGGTCTTATTTTATTAGATTGAAATTCCCTTTTTTAGGTTGGCTCCTTTTCCTTGGGTTATTATTTTGTATGCCCCTCGTGTATTCTTTCATTTTTATACTATGAAAGCCAGGTACCTTTTTCAAAAAAAAAAAAGAAAGCTATAAAGGACGAAGACCGTTCAATTTGTTAAATGTGTAGTGCTACACTACACTGCTGCTGCATTTAGTCCATGTTCATACTAACATAACAAAATATTCCGCCGTAGTAAAAATAATATAACATGGTAGTGATTCATGATGACACTTCCCAATAATATTATTAGAAATTTAAGTGACAGAGCCCATCATGATAAACTGCTGTTGCAAGGACATGGCAAGGAAGACAATACATCAACATCAAGTGACTAAACATTCAATAAGAAGAGAATTAAGAGATAACCTTCGCAGCTGCAAGTGCTGCTGCACGTGCTGCCTCAGCAGCAGCAAAGGCAGCCTGCTCTTCTTCTGTCATAGCAGCGTTGTTGTCTTCCATCTCCACATCCTGCTTTCCGAATGAACCCCTTGACCTCGATGAACTGATATCTGATTTTGACGAATTTTCCATTTCTAATCTTAATTGCTTGCTATTATCATTTTTCATGTTCACATCAGAAGGCAAGAGAATTCCAGCTGATCCAGAAGTCAGCAAATTGCCTCTACTATCCACAGCACTGTTGTTTGCATGCAGAGGAGGTTTCCCAGAAGAAGCATCCTTATTGGATTTTCTCTTCAATGATTCTACAGTGGAAACTGACTTTGAGAGTTTAAACCCCCCATTAGCAGCCTTTTCTTTACGGAAGACTTCAAGCCAAATGCTAACCAACTGACTTGCAATGGCACGAATGTCACGGCTTGTATGCACACATACCTTTTCTCTGACAGTTTTACCTATGCCTGCACCAATTGTTAGGAAAGGCATAATATGGTAAAATACCCTTAGCTAATCACAATAACTTCTACTAAATGTAAAAGCTTAACAAGACAACCTAAAAACATGAATGAGCGAACAAATAATAAGACATTAATCCCAAAAACAAACAAAATCTGGTTGAAAGTTCAAAGAGCTACATCAGTTACATAAATGATTCATTAAATAACAAAATTATTAAATGGTAAAGTTGCTAACAGACATAGTGGAAGAGGGAAAAAAAAGAGTAAATCGTCACTCAAAAAGCAAGAACACAACACAGCTGAACAGGGATATATACCTGATGAGCGAACTGCAATCAGATCAGTTGAAACTAGCACAAGAATACGAACACAGTGCCGAAGAAGTTGGGTTCCATCCTTCCCCATTGAGTCCTATAATCAATTATAGCCAAAATTTTAAATGCCAATAACTTGAATAGATGATGCTGTAAAGAGGTAGAGAATGAGAGACAAAACTACATGAAAAAGAATCATATTAAGATCCATTTAATTATTGAAAAACACCAAAAATTGTAGGCACTACCAGAATCCATGAGTTGAGAACTGTAAGACCTTCTCTGGTTCCTGCAAAGGACTTCAAGGTCTCAACAGGGAGACTCAACAACTCTTTTGCCACATGCAATCTTCCTGCTGTCGTTTTTGCACTAAAAAACAAGTCATGTAGTAAAGACTCCATGGTCAAAATCCTGGAACCATCCAAAGAATTCTTGTATAGAGCATCAGAAAGCTTAACAGCATCAAGCCTTGTAATTATGTCACCAACTTCATCATTCTCACACTCAGACTGCCTCTGAGCAGCTTCCATTGCCTCTACTTCTGCAGTATAATCATAACCAGTGCTCAATACATCAATCATGCGCACAGCCTCTCTTAATCCACTCATCATTGCACCCCCAACAGTGTCAGGGTGCTCCTTGCAAGTAGCTTCGCCAGCAAAAAACAAACAGTTACCGACAGGCCTGGCTAAAATGTCATAGTCCTCTCCAGACGCTCCAACAGCAACATAAGAGTAAGCCCCGTAGCTAAATGGATCTCTTCCCCAATCAGTTACCACAGATGCAACTGGATCAGGCACCACAGCCTCTCCAAAAAGTTTTCGAAGAACCATTAATGCATGGTTTACATTATCAGAAGGGCTCATAAATTGCCTCTCTACGGCCGCCTTACCAACCACCAGTGCTATTAGAACAGGAGCACCAACTGTTTTTCTAATATTCCAAAACATGAAACACTGCCCCCTCCACTCTGTTTCCTCTGTGGTTGCCCCAAAATAATCTACAGAGTCATCCCAAAAAACTTCTGGAAATTCAAGAACTATTTTGTTGAGAACTCCAAAACCAAGACGCTGGATAGACAGACGCTTCCAGTGGGGTAATGGTGGGGAAAACTTAATTGTTTCTGCTTTCAAGCACCCAAGAGGCACGGTGATAAGGACAGCATCTCCTAGAAACTCACAGCCATTGGTTGTGGAAACTCTTACCTTTGCACACTGATTTTCATTTAACCTGTTCTCATCGGTACCATAAGAAATATCGGCCACAACATGATTCAGGTGAATATTAAGTCCTCCACCAAGAGACTCAACAACAGTGCTATAACCCCCTTTAATCATACAATGAGCTCCTCCAAAACCACCATAAAGATCATCCTGATTCCAATGAGGAAGAGATACTTCCTTGAGCATAGCAGCACAACCATACTCCAAGTTAGCAAAATGCCAATCCATAACTCTCCTCTCAAAGGGACTCAAAACCTCTTCCTCAGAACAAATATCCATTTCCAATCGAGCCATGCGTCGTCGCTTAAGGGCATATTCTAAACCCTCCTCAAGAGACATGGTCATTGCATGCTCTCCTTTTTGTGCAACAAGCAACACCATGTCATCAAGAAGACTATTATATTCTGCCTCCAAAGCTTCATCCATGTCTACTGGAACTTTATTGCATGTAATGATATCATAGAGGGGGCAGTCACTATTTAATACAGTCAACTCGAGGCCCAATTGAGTGCAGATCAATGAGGAAGGATCAGGTCTTCTTTCAGTTGCAACGTCAGCCTCAACTCCTGTAATAATACTTGCCCCAAGATCTACCGGAACAGAAAGAGAGGAGCGATCTGTATGAACACGGCCTCCTAATCTATTCCTGGCTTCAAGTACGGTGACAGTAAAGTCCTGACGTTGCAAGTGCTTGGCAGCAGTTAAACCAGCAGGACCAGCTCCAATAACAATTACTTTCTTACTGACTTCTGAATTACTCTGTCGTTGTTGATCACCTCCTACACACTCATCAGAGGAGTGGATTGCGTGCAACCCAGCTTTACCTGGAACATCCATACCTACCAACTTTCCTGGTATAGGGTCAAGAGTACTGTTCTCCAAGTCATGAACCAATTCTTCATGTTCCACTGGTTTTGGTAACTCCAAATTACTCACAGTCACAAGGTCACTTCCTTTCATGTTTTCCAGCATTAGTTCTTCACAGACAGCTGAAAGATTGTTCTCTGCTTCAAGACCATCAGAATTTTTAACGATGACAGAAACTCCGTCCTCAGAATCAGCAGGCAAAGATACAGTAACGTCTCCAAGTTTCTTTTCTCCCATTTCATAATCGTGCTTAAAGTCAGGTTCTGATTTGGCTTTCTCAGAAGCAATCCCCGCATTGATATAACCCTGTCAATCGTTAGAAATTAATATGGAAATGAGAGAGAAAAAACAGCCTCCAAAACAGATTGACATAAAAAGATTATTAATTGATGGACATGAATGTTAAAACACAAACAAACTGGTCCTCGAATAACACAAAATGATACTCCATCAGTGTCCTAACTTACACGTAGATTAAGAAACGCATAGATCTCCCTGATAAGGGAAGAACGTGGTGGTTCATCCACAGAAGGAGTATCAGAGACCCCACAGTCAACGAGATGCAAAATGCGATTAACATCTTTACACCAAAGGCCTAGGATCTTATTCCTGCAAGGAGATTCATTTTAAATATCATTGAACAATTGAATCATAGAATCAAAAAGTATAAATTAAATATACATCATTTCAGCTTCATTCAAGCATGTGCATGATCTAAACTCCAGAAAACTAATTAGATAGACATTATTGCTTGGAGATAATGGCAACTTTCTTCCAATGACATTATTGCTTGGAGAGCACAGCACTTCTTCCAAATGAAGTTTTTTATTCCCTTGGTTTATCATAATTTTTCATTCGCTGGTAGTAATGTTCCTTCCAAATGTCATTCTCCTTGGCATGCAGTACAATTTAATATGCTGAGAGAGTATGACTTATCCATGCCAGGTCCGCATGTATAAAGATCCAAATATTCTTTAGCAAATAGCAATCTTACAATACAGAAAAAAAACAGTAGAAAACTTTAGGGAAAAGATCAATGTTTACCCCCTAAACTTGACAATGTATCATACTATCATTTTTACCCAAAATTTTCAATTTTATCAAACTGGACCATAAACTTAAATAAGTGTCGCAATATTAGCCTCAATGTTGCAATTTTTACAATCTAATATACATTTGTAGATGAATTATAAGATATAGGCATGTACAAATTGATGGAACTCTAGAGAAATACAAGACTAGAGCTGTATTCTGTTTAATTTGCAAGTTTTGGAACATTTATTTAAGGATACATCTTGTACATTAATCATACTCAAATTCATGCAAAGTTTGACTTTCGCTGAAATTAGAGAGTTGTGAGAGACTTTTACGTTGTTTTTTGTTTAAATGAGTAGGTGAATGTAGCAGAAGTTCAATAGAACATAAAATGCAACCACCTGTAAAAGGCTAAGGTTCAATTAGACGAAATTAAAATTTTAGGGTGATAGAGCTTGCCAAGTTTAGGGGTTATATCCACAAAATTTGTAATAATGTTTTCTTTTCATGAAAATTACCGAGACTAGCGTCAACTCGAATATATATAAATAACAAAGAAACTTGACACTGACAATTTTGATTAATCATTTAAGTTAATGGGACTTAGCTCAACATCCACCAACCAACCATAGATGTATTATTAAAATCACAAAAACTGCCGAAAGAAATCAGCAAACAAGAAACTGCAACCCAAAATCATATTATTTGGCATCAGCCAAGATCAATGATGGATAAAACAAGGAATGTAATTCCATAATACACAATTCATGATGCATAAAACATTTGGTATTGAGATAGGCAATCTACCCATAAAGTGACAATGTGACATAAAAAATAATAAAAAAGAAACAAGGAATGTGAGAACTAAGGAATAAGTAACAAGTACCTGCATGCTAAGTACTCTTGAAGCCCACCTTTGCGCTTTAGCACTTCCTTAAATTTGATCTTCTCAAGTAGACTAATTGCATGAGCTTTAAGCCCTGCAGATACTGCAGCTCTGCCCCCAGTTTCAGCTTCTGTAAAAGATGTTGATGCAGAATCCCTTCTTGATCTGAAAGAATGGTCACTATCAACTGCACGCTCATTAATCAAAACCTCCCAATCAATATCTCCTTCATAAGCCATGTCATCATGTCTGGGCTTCTTTGTTTTGCGTGTCGTACGTTGCCCAGCAGAAAGCTTGTAATCTTTTTCGCTACCAGGAACTGATACTGCATCCTCAAGGTCATTGTAATCTGGAGTCAAAGACCCTGGAGAAGATGCCTTAACCTCTTTACCAGCAAGTATATTATCATGATTCAGACCATCTATCCCAATGGAAGCCTTGGCAGCTTGACTAATATCCGATGATACTGTGCTGAAATTACCAATAGTACAAACTTCTGGATAATTTGGTCCAGAAGTAGTTGCACAAGATTTTTGGGATCTGTGAAATTGAACAGCAGTTGAGTCCAAACTCCGATGAGAGATAGGAGCATTTTCATTCTGCATAGAATCAACTGTAATGTTTGGCTTCTCAGTTCCAGTATTTAAACTATAAAGGCCATGGTTTCCATTTACCTGTTCTAGAACACTACAAGAATTGCACCTGTTTTCATTAAGATGATTTGCACCTAGCCCATCCTGAGAAGAAGCCATTTCTGCCAAAGAGTTATGCCCCATTGTATCGCCACTTGAACAATGCTTTAGTCCCTTGTTGATTTCACAGGTGGCTTTACTTTCAGGCCCCTGGAAATTGTCCCTAAATTGAATATGACTACAGTGTTTGCTATCTTCATCAGCAAATTCATTTGATCTGCCCGGTCTGATGTCACAATTCTCATTATTATTTAGACTGTGTTGACATTCTTCTTGATCACCTCCAACCCCTCGGCACAGTCCTTGACCATGATTACAATTTTCTCTGGTGCAACGTGAACAAGAAATTAAATATGAGGTTGTAAGTTCAGAATTAGCCACTCTGTCGTTAGAATTCAGTTTTTTTACAACTTGATCGTGCTTAGCAGAAGAATTAGGACTCACTTCATGATCCCCAGAAACAACTCCCAAAAAATGACTCGATTTATCTTCTGAAGCCTCATCCTTGCATTCTGGTATGAACGTTGTAGGTACCAATGATTTCCTAGTTGACCCAGATTGAACCTTTTGGACAAATGCTGATAATGAATCTTCTAAATCAGGTGCTTTACACAACTTTTCTACACCCATCTTTGCAGATGGATTAGACTCTTCGTGATCCATCAATTCAGCATTTTCCACAACCATTGGCCTAAACCTCGTATATAAAACCCCCTGTCCTCTAGTGGCATTCGACAATGGATCCAAAGGTTCTGCCACACTTAAAGCATAACTCTGTTCCTTGTCAATTCCAGATCCACTAACCTTTTTAGGACGCTTCAACTTCTTTCTGAAACTTGCTAGAGTATCATCCATTCCCCCAAAGTCCTCATCTTTCACTGGCAACTTCGCTTCTTTATTGACAACCATCTTGTCCCTTTCACCACCATCCTCTACAATCAACTTATTCCTCTTGGAGTTTCGTGATCTCTTCAACTTCAGCAGAGATCCAATGGGCTCATCATCGTCTGAGTCAAACACACCCTCCTTCGGCTTCGTTCTTTTCCTAAAACCAGACTTCTTGTTGTCTCCATCCATCTTCTCAACCCCACATTCAATCATTTATCAGCAAATCTGTATGGTGAAACCCTAACCCAACTTGAGAAAACAAATTATCAACCAATAATCTGAAACACGCTCCATCACTTTCCACCTCTCAACCACCAAGAACTTGTAACTCATAAATCCCGTATGAAAACAAGTCCGCAACCATTCACGGCCGTACTCCGAAAAAAAATTGAAGCTAATCCAAAAAATACCCTACACCCGGTAAAGACGAGAAACGTTCAGAAAGAAATGAAAAAGAAAAAGGTTCCCAGTAAAAATTTCTACCGATTAGCCAGTTCTACCGCGAATATTAGAAAGAGTTCATTCCTCACTCGACCAATAACAAAATAAAAAAACAGCAATGGGATACGAGACGAAAGAAAACGCGCATCTAGGGTTTCTAACGGCATTGCTGAGAAGAGACGGGAAAAGGAAAAAATTGGTGGGGAAAGAGGAACGGACCTTGAAGAAGCTCGTCTATGGTGGCATTCGAGAATTGGTGCGAAGAAGAGAGTGAGGTGCGCACGTTAGCCTCGCCGGTGTTGAGAGTGACGGTCGGCTTCTGAGAAGTGCGCCGCCAGGGGATGGGGAAAAAGCTCTCTGTTGCGGGGGAAAAATAAGGAAAAAATTAAATTATTAATAATAATAAATAAATAAATCCAGAACGACAAAATTTGGGGTCGAAACGACAGCTGCGATTAAGGGAAGTAGACGGGCCAGCCATAGAGACCTTGCGAAACGCTGCGCTACGGTCCACCCGGTGAATTTTTTTTTTTTTTTCTCTTTTTTACTTCAAATTTTAATAAACATTTTTTAAATTTTTACCCTCGGTTCTTTAGTAATTTTACCTTCAGTTAAGTGGTAGGCTTTTAGATTTTAGTCCACATATCCATGTTATATTATATTTTCATATATTCCCGAGGTTCAACATTTTTATAGTATTTAAAAAAAACAAAATATAAAAAATAATAATGATATAGACATCATTTTAGTGTTAATAAGTTATAAATGATAGGAAGTGTGAAATGTGTAGTTGTTATTGTTTTTCTTATTTTATAATTTTTTCAAAATACTTATCAACGTCCACATTTAAAACTAGAGTAGGCGTTAATCTTTCGTTTTGAAAATTATTAAAAGAACATTTTTATATATGTTTAGTAAATCATAAAACACACATTCAATACAAACTTTGTCGGTTCTTAGAACAACTCTTAGATCTTTTTTTTTTTATTTATTAAGGAGTTGTTTAAGTTTACATATGGGTTGATCATATTTTTCTTAATACAACATCTGGGGGTGGGGTTCAAACTTACAACCTCTTCGTTTGAGATATATATCAATTATCATTATTATATGCTTGCTTTGGATGTTATGTATTTATTTTGTTTATTTTTTCCATCAGAATTAGTGAATTTGAGATATTTTACTTTTTTTTTAAATAGTTGATGAGTAAATATATTAGAAGTCGGGCTTAAAAATGGTAATCGTCGTATAAGTCTATAAAACGCGAAATGTTAGGATGACAATTTATTAACCTTGTACAGGTAGAGACTGATTTATTTTGTATTTTTTTATAGCTATATCACTGGTATTAATATCAACTAAGACGCCATTCAACTAATATTATAGAATAGTTTCTCCTATAACTACAACATTTACTTGTAAGATTTGAATATTACATGAGTTATATCGGGTTTGAACTCATACTCATCTTTAAACTTTTTTACATTTGTTACTTGCCCTAGTAACTATTGAACTATAGAAATGTTTCGTTCATAACCATAATAGCTTCGAGTATAACCTAGTTAAGATGTAATGTTTAAAAATAATAAATATAAATGAAATTACAGTACAAAGCATATATGTGATATGACTGTCGTCTTTAAATTGTCAATATATATATTATCTAATGATAGTATTGATTACAGTATCTAAAGTCAAACGCCAATTGTGTAAATTAACATTGTAGCCCACGTGGCACGTTTAATTCGTTAATTAAATTTATACCTAATTTAATGAAAATATATTGCGATATTTTTTTTTCTTTTTATATGTTTGAAAATTCAAATCCTTGCAAAAAAAAAGAAACGCAAAGATGTAGGGTCAATACATAACCCAATCCTTAATCTCATTTATGCTAAAAGTATGTTTATCTTGTACGTGTTTCGAAGAAAAATCATTCCGTCCTCGAAGTCTTAAAGGGGCATGTAAACACATAAAAACTCTAGAATCGAAATGGAAATGAAAAAGAGATGTAACTCCAATTCCTTGAGAAATAGGAAGATATTTGACATAAGAAGAATGAGTTGATGTATATCATATTGACTGGATTTGTCAATATAGTGACAACATGATACACGCTTGGTCCCAACTGGTGTTTTCTCGGTGGTACCGTAATATTTTGATTTAAATATTATTTTGGTCGGTGTAAAAACATTCAATTTAGTATATGCATTTTTAACTTTTCATTTTAACTATTGTGATTTGATTTTTATCTGTAAAATTTCTAACATAAATTTTATACACAATTGAAATATTTAATATAAAATTATGATTATATTTCAAGAGTGAAATGTCATGTTAAAAACATAATCGAAAAAGAAAAGGTAAAAAATGAAGGATCAAAATTGTATTTTTATTTTTTTTAAGTACAAGGACCAAAATAATATTTAAACACAATAATTATAATGAAAAAGTTTTCGTATGTACACGTCTTAGGTACAAAAAATATGATTGAGATTTAAATTTTCAACTTGAATCAATACAAGGAATGTGTGTTTGTTTTTTAGTACAACAAATATGAATATGAGTGATTGAATCTCAAACTTCTAGGAATAAAGCAACATGCCTCAACCGAATAAAATTCAAATCCGCGAGCCCCTTTTACAACAAATGGTACAGATGATGGGCTCGGTTGGGGAGGTAGGATGGATAATTTTGAATTAGGGAATGGGCAAAAGTACTAGATGTGAGGTGTAAAAAAATGAGTAGTAATAACATAAAAGCACTTTTTGTGGGAGGGTACCCCTAATTAAGGACTGGCCCTTTGCCATAAACGTCACTCTAAATGCTTACTCTCGACTATCGTAGTAGTTGCAGTTTTCAGAGCAGTCCACAAATGGACCCAAAAATAACCCACTCTCTTTTCAACGCCAATTACTCTCTTATTCTGATTGGCCAAACCGACGTCGTTTTCGCCTCCCATTCTGCCCACTCTTTCAATTTCCCCTTTATTTAATATTATTTTTATAGGCATTATTAAATGCCCTCTTTAACCTTGCACCCTTCAGGTCTGCAAAGTGGTTGCCTTCTAAGTAAATGCCCATAATAACACCTTTTTTTTATAATTCCCAAAATGAGTCTGTAGCATTCACCAATGATTTATTGGACAGAAATTTAAATATAGATTTTGAATCATATTTGTGTCTTCTTTTTTTAGTAGCTAATGGAATATCCACCTAGTATTCCACTAGATTAAATTTGGGACAGAGTAAATTTACAAATGTTTTGTTGTTTTTTCTAATACGATAAGTTAGGATGGAGGATCATAACTCATAATCTTTTAGTCAGAAATAGATGTCAATTATCACTAAACTCAGCTCATGTGAATAGCGTCGTTGTGTTTTTATTACATCATTGAATCATAATCAATAAAGTGTTATTAATTGAAGTACATGTTAGTAGATAAATGCACCTTTTACCTTCTTTGAGGTTGATGCTAAGTTACTCCATAAACAAATTATCTATTTAATACATACCATTTTAGGCTAAGAATTACATTAATAATAAATTGAATGCAGTGTATTAGTAACTTGACATGTGAATATTATTTAACGAGACCGGTGAAACTCATTAATAATCTCTCTCTCTTTTTTTTAATCCTTTTGATTTGGTGGTGAAATATATGGTTGTGTATTTTTTCCCCTTTAGTTCAACAGATTCGAGTGGAAAATTGAAACATCGATCTTTAGAATGGTAGTAAGATATTTTTATCTATTTAAACTATGTTTATGTTGATGCTGAAAATATTAAGTCAATAGACTTAAAATACATACAAATTTTAGACTTAAAATACATACAAATTTTATTCTATCCATTTGTTTATATTCAATTCCATTGGGGTAATGATAATGTTGTGAACAATACAATAAAATAAATAACAAGTTACATTTAACTAAATAAATAAAATATAGATATATTATATATCCAGACGAAGTTTGAAATAATACTTTCCACCTCTAATATTGAAATCAATTTTAATTTTAATTAATAACCCACCCCATCTAAAAAAGTTTAAGTGGGTTAAAGCAAAAAAGAAGGAAAAAAAAAAGATTCTCACCAAATATAGAGAAATGGTACATACGGTAATTATGGCGGTCTCTCGCTCGATGATGAAGCCTATCTCTAAATATTGTAATTGCATTTATATTCATCACAATAGAAATTGAGTTCAAGCTCTCCAAACGAACACAAAACTCCATACGAATTTACAATGGAAAAACATATGTTCGTTGTAAGATTCAAATAATTGATCATAAATTTGGAGAACATCAAAATATTGAATATTAGAAGAGTTAAGAGTTCATTTAATAACGTTTCCATTTCTTATTTTATCGGTTTCGATAAATAGAAATGTGAAAAAAAAATACGAGACTAGCTCACCCTACCACTCTAGTTAAAAATTTTAATGTTTATTGTTTTGTAGTTTGGTTGTAAAATAATATTGGGAAGCCATAAATTCTCTTTAGACCGAATTTGGGGATCTCCGAGCAGCATTTTTTTTCTGCCGCCGACAACTTCACTCCAACAACCAACGAGCTGTCGAATCTGATTCACTATTAATTTCTGGCTGTCCATCTAGAGGTGACCGTATTATATTTATTTTATTATGCCCTCAGCTTTTTCAGCTGTGCCCTCTCATGTTTTTATACTCAACTTTCTACAGATTATATAGATTTAATTGGTGTTTTCTTAACCAAAAAATTAAAAACATAATGCTAAATAATGTTTTGATTTTTGTTGTAGACTTCTTTTTATTGATAATTATATTGTTAATAAATTATAAAAAACATTTATCTGCAAAAATGATCCGCTAGGAAAAGGTAAAATTATGTAATTATTTATATACTACGATGTTTATTTGTCAASACGAGCATAACTCAATATCTCGACATCTTACTATTATTATTATTTTTTATATAGAAAATATAATGTCTAAGATGTAATCATGTATATTTTTAAAACCTAAGCTAAAGCTTCACTATTAGTACTACTTTGACCAATAAAAATGTGATATCCTATTATTTAATATTTTAACAATATCTTAACATGAGCTTAACTCAACGGTTATTGACACATGTATCTAATAAAGAGATTGTGCGAATCCTCCAATTTCCATTTGTTGTACTAAAAAAATAGAGTGTTATTATTTAATTAAAAAACAACTAAATTAAATTGGTAGGACATTTTGTTTTTATCGAACTTAGATTTGATAAAATTTCACCTATATATATTTTGTTTGAGTTACGAATTAGTTAAAAAGTTGCTCCCTCCTCTGGCTTAATCCATGTTAATGGATCTTAATTAATAAGATTAGATATAAA